ATATATAAATAAAATAAAATACAAGATAAGAATAACAAAGAAAGAAGATAAGAATAATAAAATCCTAAACCCTAAACAACAGTACAACAAATAAAGTAAAGACAAATTAAAAAACAAATTAAAACAACAAATCAACAAACAAATTCAATAAATATCTCCTTCCTTATCTTCTTTTTTTGCTCGTTTTTCTTCTTATTGTTTGTTTACTATTACACTCTATACTCTATTTAAATACTTTCTTTCTTTTTTATTTATTTAATTATAATTTATCTTAATTCAATAAATTAGATACGAAGCCCTCACCCATCCTGCAGACGCAACCATCGAAAAACAAACAAAAAAAAATAAATAAATACAATAAAAAAGAAATAAAAATATATTATATATATAGATTATTAAAGACATAGATATTGATATAGAAATAGATATAGATATAGAAATAGATATAGATATATAAATATATAGATATATATATATATACATGTAGATATAGATACATGCAGACACTGCACATATATAATAAATATACAACAAATATAGAATAAGTATAGATACTATATATGCATGAATATGCGCATGTATGGTTTAATAGGATCTGTATGTGTTAAAGAAGGAGAGAGGAAGACGGAAGAAAAAGAAGAAAAAGAATCAAAACAATATATATATATATTATATATATATAAACTATATATATAACATTACTATGGTGTGTGTATTGCATACACCTGAGGCATTAATTGTATTCTGTCTTTGTCTCTATTTCTTTAAATTTCCTGGTAAAGAGATACATTAATTGTTGTATTTGTTTTTAATTAATTAATTTCTTTTCTTTTCTTCGATTTTATCTCCTCACCATGATGTCGATATGGAGCCAATCGCATCCTGCATCCACCATAGTCTGCGCTTCGTCTTTCAAGCAAGAAAGATCGCTGGCGAGAATAGAAGGAGCAATAATAGGTTTAGGAGTCATTATGAATTGAATAGGAAGGGAAAAAAGAAGAAAAAACGAGAAAAAAACAAAAGAAATGAAGAAGAACTGCCGATGACGCCGCCGCTCTTCTCGGCTGTGAAAACGAAGGAAACCTCAGGAAAATACTGTTGTATTTGCAAAATTTAGATATTTAAATATAATTTAGTCAATTTAATTCATTAATATTCGCTTATTTTTCATCAAACTCTTCAACATGATTAATATGCATAACACTGCTTTCACGCTTCTGCTGAGGTGTACAGACACCGCAAGCCCTCGCCTATTTTTTATATATTTCGCTGCTGTTGCAACATCTTCTTTTTTGTATAAAATAAAGAATATTTTTAAGTTTTAAGTATTATTTTGTATTTATTTTTAATTAATTTTACTTATTTATCGTACAACACCTGCTGAAAGCTAAATAAACGGCAATTTTATGCTGTTTGCTGCTTCAGGGGCTATTGTTTGAATTTGTGTGTATTGCAAAGGGTTAACACATTTAAAAATAAAAGAAGAATAATTTGCTTTAAAATAAACAATTACAATATTATTTAAATTAAATTAAAACTAACAGCATCTTCGATAAACAAATATACTTCTAATTTTTATCAGTACTTATTCCTTCAGTGTTCTGCTATTTTGTTTAATTAAATTTAACTAAAGTTCTTTCAGGGCTTTGTACAATAACCCATAAACCAAGTATTCCCTCTACATCGTCACTGCCAGTCCACCGCTTGTTATATATATATATATATATATATAT